CGACTCGAGGGCCCCTTCATGCAGTGACAGGAGAGTCCGTTAGGCCCTGTTTTTATGGTGTGTGCACATAGATGAGATGACGGAGCCATAGCGGCATTGCTGTTCTAGTCAGATCAGGGTAGACGTGCTCCATCTCCTGGAGGACACGGCAGCAAATAGCGGAAGCTTGGCTCAAGGAACTGATAACGGTTGCTGCTGGTACCTCGGAGTCATTTCACACTCACGATAAACCCATCCTGGCCCTGCTCCATCCTAACATTTGTTACTATGTTTGAGCCATTGTGGGCACTGGGTCAATGCATCTCCTGGGGGGCGGGGGTCTTCCTCTTTCTCACGGACACTTTACTTATCTAAGCAGATGCCCTTTTCCAGGGACTGGTCCTTCAGAAACTGATGTCCTCCCACCCTCATTTTGAAGGAACGGCTAGGGTTGACTTCGTTTTCTGTGTTTAGCCAGATTCTGTCCTCCCTTGGAAACAGCGGCGGGGCCTGTGGATTCTTAGTTTTGGAAGACAGAGTAATTCCTCTAATCCTGCAGGCTCTCGAAGGAAGCCTCCTTTGGAAGGGTTTGGGTAAACCCCAGCGGTGGAGTTTGTTCCTACAGTTACTCCACTGCCTGGGCCAGTTTCCAATTTTATTGATGATAATATTTACGATAGGGAAGATAGTCCACCCCCCTGGGCAAGTGTTTTAAGGCTCAACCATTAGATTTAAAAAATTTATCAATCTAAAAATGGGTAACATAGGTGCATGGATCAGTGATTGATACATTGTTGCACAACCATCACCGTTATCTATTTACAATGATTTTCATCATAAAATGGTTGAAACAGCAAATACTTTCTTATATGTTTCACCACAAACACAGGAAGGAAACATGGTAATGTATCCACACAAAAAAAGAGCAAAAAAAAAAAAAAAGCTCAAAAACATATACAGTGAACATTCTGCTCACTACCTTGCTCCTTGCTTCATGTCTCCAGAAATGTTTTTTGAGGCATCCCATATCTATACTAGCACAAACGCTTTAATAAGTCAAGTATATTGAAGTGAAAATAATAGGTTTAGTACCTACAGGTTGAAAATGATTTTTTTTTTTTTTTTTGGTGTTTGATTTCCCCGCTTCTGTTCGGTGTATTGTTTTGCTACAAATAAAGACAGGCTTGTGTATTTAAATCAATCACTAAAACAACGATAAAAGCAGTCTCTCCCTCTTCCCTTACCAAAAGGGGACTGGAAGTACTGGATCGTGAGCCATGTTAAGAGGAAATCAGCCTTCTCCAGTTACACCTGGTGAACAGCCGAGCTCGCAAGATCAGACACAGCTAGGGACAAGCCGTGCACCGAACCGAAGATCCTTAACAGCACGCATTAAAGAAAATGAAGAAAGAAAAAAAGGTTTATTTAAAAAATTTTCATGGCATTCATTACTAGCACGATTTCTTCCTCGCCTTGCCGGAAGGGTATAGGTGTCATTTGGAGTGCCGGGAAAATCTGCAACCTTTCCAGTTCATCGGAAAAGGGGCGCGTGTATTTCCGTCTCGCTGACGAACCCTTACACAAACAGGGACAAAGCGGTTTTGACTAAGTCCCGCCCTGCAGGCCTAGACTGAAGGCTCTGAATGTCAGCAAAGGCCCTTCGGCGGCGTCCGCCACCCAGGAGCCTCGTTAGCGCAGTAGGTAGCGCGTCAGTCTCATAATCTGAAGGTCGTGAGTTCGAGCCTCACACGGGGCACCCGCTCCTTTTGCTGCGACGGGTCAGGGCAGGAATGCACCCCAGTTCGCATCATCTTCCCTGCAGCCTCTGGTCCTGTGACGAGGGTGGTCTGCTTTCCCAGGGCGCGGCAGTTCCGAGCCTGGGCTGCGGATTGGGGGCGGTTGTGCGGCGGCACGCGGGGAGGAGGGGGCGCAGGGGTGGCCCCCGTCCACCCAGGAACAGAGGCGCTGGGAGCCCCACTCGTAACCTGGGTGGGTCGGAGGGCGCGGGGCTGCCTGGCTGCAGAGCCTGGCTCCCTAAGGCCACGGGGGACCGAGGTCGCTGGGATCGCGGGGGATGGAGCCAGGATCTCCAGTACGAGGCTGGGATCCCTGACGTCGGCTTCCAGGGGGAGCTCGGCCTCCCGGGAACCCTCTCATCTCCCAGGGGGTTGGGCTCTGCCCTTAGGGGCCTGGCACTTCTCTCCCCGAAGTCTGAGCTCAGCTTCCGGGGGCGCGGTTTGCCTCTCGAGGATGGGCCTTGGCCCTCCTGGGCGTGGCCAGACTCCCGAGGGCGTGGCTCTGCTCCCGGGGGCGTGGCTCTGCTCCCGGGGGCGTGGCTCGCCTTCACAGGGTGGGTTTGGGCTCTCGGGGGCGGAGCTCGGCTAGCCAAAGCCTGAGATCAGTTTCCGGGGGCGTGGCTATACCCAGGGGGCGGGGCTCGGCTCCGCGGTTTCCGGCGTGGCGCTGCTGGCGTCGCGGGGCGGGCTCGTCGGCGCGTGCGCAGAGCGCGGCTGGCTGTCAGTGCCGGCATGGCGGTGTGCGCTCGGCTCTGTGGCGTGGGCCCGGCGCGGGGCTGTCGCCGGCGGCAGCAGCGCGGAGGCCCGTCCGAGGCGGCGGCGGCCGACAGCGAGCCGGACACGGACCCCGAGGAGGAGCGCATCGAGGTGGGCGCGGCGCTGGCCGGCGTGGGGCCTGGGCCCGCGGCGGCGCGCTGCTCGCTGCTGGAGCTGCCCCCCGAGCTGCTGGTGGAGATCTTCGCTTCCCTGCCCGGCACCGACCTGCCTAACCTGGCCCAGGTGTGCACCAAGTTCCGGCGCATCCTGCACACGGACACCATCTGGAGGCGGCGCTGCCGCGAGGGTCAGTCCGGGCCGCCTGGGCCGCGGGCCGCGGGGAGGCGCGTGGGGGTGGACACGTGAGGGCCACCGGGGCCGGAGGACGTGGGTGGCAACCACGGGCGGGTTGGGCTGGGGGCGTGTGGGTGGCCGCCAGGGACCTGGCGGGGTGCGTGGGGGGATGACCAGGGGCCGAGGTGCGTGTGGGGCATGGAGGACTGTGTGCGGGACCGCTACAGATGGGAGGTGCAGGCATTCCCCAACCGCAGGGGCTGAGGCTTGTCCGGGAAGGGTGTACTTGGGTGAGGTGACCAGGCCTGGGAGGGTGACCTCCAGGCAGCGTTGTTAGGGGGGAGGTGCAGACAGCGCTTTCAGAGGGAATGACATCAGGGCAGACTGCTCTTTGTGCAGTTTCCGCAGAAATGTGTTCCTCATCGAAAGAGATCACCTCTGTGCAAGCCTGGGGTGCCCACACCCTTATACCTACCAGGCTGACAGTGTCCCCGTGGGCTGTTTGATCCCCATAATGACTGGGCAGGGTGAAGTGCCCAGATGGGGGCTGGAGCCTGGCACTGCACTCACCTGGGGTTCGGAGTGGGGCTGAGGGGTGACTCCCGCTCTGAGGGTATAGGACTCTGGGGTTCAGGGGGTGATGACAAGCTGGGATTGGTGTTCTGTGCATGCTTGATCCTGGAGGGGAATTAACTGATGTCCCTGGGCCCCTTTGTAGGGGGACCTTAGGGCAGCCCAGGACAGAGAGAGGGTGAACTTGGATAAAGTTGGGGGAGCAGGGTCTCCTGATGGTGAGTGGGTGGACCCGTGAGTAGAGAGATGGGAGGGGCCTGGGCAGTGCTGGGTGAGTGAGTGCCATCTGCCACCCCCCCCCCAGTGGCACCGTGTGTGATGTATTTGATAAACCGGGCGTGCCTGCCTTGGTGAGGGTCCTGCGGAATGGAATGGGTAAGTCAGCCTAGAGTCCCCAGCTCCCAGCTCTGCCTGTGCCTCAGCACTGCCAGATGTCACCGTGAAGTGAGCTTCCTGTTCTAGTGAACGGGAAGGGGCAGCACACCACGCAGAACAGTGGACAGAAGGAAGGAGGGAGGGAGGGAAAACCAGACTCACTACTATGAGTCCATGCTGATGCATGGTGACCCTACAGGACAGGGTAGAACTGCTTCAGTGAGCTTCAAAGGGTGTCTGAGGAGCAAGGTGAGCAGAGCTGAGGGCGCTGGATCTGTGCCGTCTCGGGGTGGGCTCGGCAATCCTAAGAGGGTGTGTGGGGAGAGGGTTTGTGGGAAGGCACAGCCTCCCCTTCTTCCC